ACAGCCAACCTGCAAAGCTGGTCTCCTCTTTTCCATAGGGCCAAAGCCTGGACGTATGCAAGGTCAGCTTAGAAAGGGAACTTTTTGTCAACCCCCTTGGGCTGGCTGAACTATTTGGAGCCAAGTGTGTGCGGGGAGGCTGCACTTACAGTCTGTCTGCTCCAAGTACTGAGCTGCTGCTGATAGACACAGCCGTGGTCTGCTGGGGCTCTGCAGCTCCTGCATCCGCTGCCTACGGGCTCTCAAAGGGAACTCCCAGGAGCTGAAGCTGCCACGACCCAGGAACCTCAGCCCCACCACTGCCCACAGCTGAGGGAAGAAGCGCCTCGGAGCAGCGGGAATGGGAACAGGAGACGCCAGCAGACAGGTTGTCATTTACCAACTGAGGGACCCTTCTAACTGGAGGGGCAGGAACTGGCTGTGAGCGTGGGGGTGGCTCACACACTTCTGCCATCCCCTGGGAATGCCCACACCCCTGGGGGCTGCCTCCCCAGGCATCTGCATCCATGGTGCTGCATCCCAGGTGCGCCCAACCCCCCAGGCCAGCATCTCCTGCATCCTGGCAGCCAGCACTCCTGGGAACAGCCTCCCCTCGCCCCAGGTGCTGCAGCACACCCTCACATCCTTGCTGAGGCGTCCCTGGCTGCCTGCATCTCAGGCATTGCCTCCCTGGGCGCTCCTGTCCCCTGCATACGAGACACATGCATCCTTGGGGACCGGCAACCCCTGCAACCTGGTTGCTGCATCCCCAGGTGCCTGTACCCCTGCAGCCAGTATTCCCTGCATCCCTGGGTGCCTGCATCCCTAGAGCCAGCATCCCGCACATCCCAACTGCTGCATCCCTAATGGTCTGTGTCCCTGGACCCAGTATCCTGTCTCCTGGGTCCCTGCATCCCTGTGTGCTCCCACCCCTGGGGCCAGTATCCCCGGGGCCAGCATCCCCTGTATCCTGACTGCTGCAGCCCCCAGTGCCTATATCCTTGGAGGCAGCATCTCCTGCATGTCCTTCTGCATCCCCCCCCCGGTGCCTCTGCACCTCCTGCATCCCAGCTGCTGACGCCTGTGTCCCCGGGGCGCGTGTCCCCGCGTCCCAGGGCGCCCGCAGCCGGGATGGA